CAGTTGAAGGTGAGCCTGAGCACTTATTGATTAGTAAGAACCTGTCTCAAAAAGTAAAAAGGACTGGGATTATATAATGTTCATTGTGATAAAAAAATAAAGCCCTACTATCCAAGAATAACAACTATTAACATGTTTTTTGATGCACAGTCACACATATACCTATATACTATATATATGTAAGTGTGTATATATGTGTATATTTACAGAAATGGGATCATCCTTTACATAATCTTTTATTGCAGTAGTAGTTCTTTTTTTTTTTTTTTTGGTACCGGGGATCGAACTCGGGTCCTTGTGCTTGCACAGCAGGTGGCGAAACCACTGAGCTAAATCCCTGGCCCTTTCATACATTTTTAAAAAATTTTCTCTCTATGTAGTCCAGGTTGGCCTTTAACTTGCTGTGTGGCCCAGGTTGGTCTTCAGTTCTAGCCCCTTCTGCCTCAGCCTCCCAAGTGCTGAGTTTACAGACCATGCCTCACTTCATACTATTTTTAAAACACATTTTGCTTAACAATATTTTGTGCTCAATTTGTTAGGCCATTGTATATTCTACAGCGTCATCTATAATATATTTTAACTTAAAAACAATGTTATTATAAAACATTTAAATATCACAGATAAAATGAAAGTATAAGTTCCTGTTATTCTGAATAATAACCTTGGACAGTTAACCAATAACAGCTCAGTTTATAGTCTTCCATATCTGTTTTCTGGTTTTATTTTTGTTTTTAGTTTTTTGAGTTTTGTTTGTTTGTTTGAGACAGGGTCTCACTTTGTGTTCCAGGCTGGCTTTGACTAACTATAGCCCAGGCTGGCAAATTCATGATCTTCCTGCTACAGCCTCCTGAGTGCTGGTATTAGAAGTCAGTCATGTGCCACCATGCCCAGCTCTGTATCTATTTTCTAAGGTTGTTCTATCCATATACTTTTAAAAATATATAATCTCATTATGCACTTTTTTTTTCAGAGCTGGGGGTTGAACTCAGTGCTTCACACATGCTAGATAAGTGCTCTACTACTGAGCCATGTCTTCAACCCCATTGTATACATTATTTTTAATGTTTCAATTAACAATTGATCTTTGACATGTCAGTATATATAAAACAACCTCATTCATTTTATTGGAGTTATAGTCTACCTCTTCTTTTTTTTTTTATGATACTGGGGATTAAACCCAGGGATTCATACATACTGAGAATATGCTCTGCCACTGAGCCACACCACTTCCCATGCCCTAGCCTCTTCCTGATGGATGTTTGAATTATTTTTATTTTTCTTTTGAGACAGGGTCTCATGATGATGCTCAGGGTGGCCTTGAACTTGTGAGCCTATGGCCTTCCAAGTAGCAGGGATTATAGGCATCTGCCACTGTACCTGACTCTTAGTTGAATTAATTCTAATTTTGCTTTAATGCAAACCACGCAGTAAACATCCTGTAAAAATATCCTGCTTTATGGTTTTTAGCAGCAAAGCAAGACAAAACAAAACAACAAAAAACGAGTTTCAGTCAGAGTTTTATAAAAATGCATTCCTAGACTGGAATCCTGGTACCGAGTATGAACAATGTGGACATTTAAGTATTTAACAGAATTTTGTTCCAGAAAGGTTCTGTCAGTTTATAACACCCCCTTTATTGTGGATAATATCTTTCTACCTTCTTTTGTGGATTCTATTTCTTGGGCTGTATTATTTTTTTTCCTTTCTGGTGCAGGAGATGGAACCCAGGCCTCCCACGTAGTAGACTGCTAGACAAGGGCTCAACCACTGAGCTGTACCCCCTGGTGTTTCTTGGCCTTTAGAAGTTTTCACCATAAAGAGATCAAATAAATTTTTCAGGCCATTTTTCCCCAGAAGCCAGATTTAATTTTTTAATATTTAAAAGATAGTATTTATTAGTTTTCCTTTATGCAAAGAAGAAAACAAATGAATGGATTTTTGTCTCATCTTCTTTGACATTAAAAATGTTAAATATAATACTTTTACATGGTTAAAAATATAAATAATGCAAGATACCCAATGAAAAAAAAAGCCTCCCCTCTTGCAGTTTTTCTTCTCAAATTAATCACTGTCCGCACTTTTGTATAATTCCTTCTAGAAAAATATTCTGTGTATGTTAATGGAATCTTACATGTGTATACCTACAGCTACATGCCCAGCTCTATCCAAGTTCTATAGCCTGCCTGCCTTTCTTCATTTCTCTCTTTCTCTTTCTTTCTTTTTTCTTTTCTTTCTTTCCCTCCTCCCCTCCCCTTCCTTCCCTTCCCTTCCCCTTCCTTCCTTCCTTCTTCCTTTCCTCCCTCCTTCACTCCCTTCCTCCTTCCTTCCTTCTTACCTTCCTTAGTACTGAGGATTGATTCCAGGCATATCACATCACACCTGGCATTCCTTAATTTCTTAAAACATACCTCCCAGCCAGGTTTGATGGCTCATGCTGGGAATCACAGCACTGTAGGAGGGTGAGGCAGGTCGATCACAATTTCAAGTCAGCCAGCCAACTCAACAATTTAACTAGGCCCTGTCTCAAAATAAAAAATAAAAAATGAGTTGGGGTGTAGCTCAGGGTGAAAGCCTTGGGTTCAATACCCGGTACACCAAAACAAAACAACTCTCTGGTGTCCATAAATGTAGAGTTTTAACATTTCAGTTGGGCAAAGATGGACTCTGTAGTAGAACAGTTTGACAGGTAACTGTCAGGAAAACATAACTGAGAACTCTGTACTTATGATAGAGAACAAACATCCTCATTCAATTTTAACAGAATGAGAGAACACTTGCCCGGTGTGTGAGGCTCTGGATTTGATCTTTAGAACCAAAACCCAAACCAAAACAAAAACCCTCTCAAAAATCTGATATTTAATATGATTAAATGTTGAATATAGTATGCTTTGCTTAGCTCCTTGAGTTTTATTTTATTTTATCTTTTTTCTTTTTTGGTACTGGGGATTGAACTCAGGTCCTTCCGCTTGTGAGGCAGGCACTGGAACCACTGAGCTACATCCCCAGCCCCCTGAATTTTAAATATTCTGTGTCCTTAGCTTATGAGGGATTTGCCTTACAGATTTTTTTTCTTTACTTTTCTTTTCTTTCTTTTTCCTGGCCATGCCAGAGATGGAACCCAGTGCCCATGCATGCTACAGCCCATACAAGTACTCCACTACTGAACTACATCTCCAGCTGCCTTCTGCGTTCTTTCTCTCCTATTCCCTATCCCCTGCCTTTTGCAGCTCGGGGCCTTGAACTCAGGGCTTTGTGCATACTAGGCAAGTGTTCTACCATCAAGATACATCTCAGGCTTTTGTTTAAGTATTATTTTGAGCCAGGGACCAAGTTGCGCAGGGTGTTCTTGAACTTGTAGTCTTCTTGCTTTAATCTCCTGAATAGCTGGGTATTCCACCTCACCTGGCATCCCCAGCCCCCCTGATTCCTTTCTTAAAGAAAGACCCACATTTCTGATTTCATGCAGTTCTTTCACAAAGAAAGAGCTTGAGTTACTGTTTCCACAACAGTTCTGGGTGTACATCGATTTCATTTACACTATAGGGAACATACTACAGTCATACCTTGGTACTGGACTAATTTGAAATCCATCATTTGTTTGGTACTTTGTGCACAAGTTAGAACTTGTTGGTATTTATTGCCTGTGACTTGCTCCCTTTCCAGCCAGAACAACTCACTTGGTACTTATTGTGCTTCCTGAAACCAATTAACAATGAGTACCAAGGTACCACTGTATACCTACAATTTTTTTTTTTTTGGTACCGGGGATCGAACTTGGGACTTTGCGCTTGCGAGGTAGGCAGTGGCACCACTGAGCTAAATCCCCAGCCTGACTTTGCATCTTTTAATTAATTAATTACTTTACATTACAGGCATGTGCCACCACAACTGGCGGCTTTGCATCTTTCCCCTCTGGTTTTTTTGTTGTTGTTGTTACCGGGGATTGAACTCGGGACCTTGCAATGGAACCACTGAGCTAAATCCCCAGCCCAGCTTTGCATCTTTCACTTAATGCTTTTTTTTTTTTTTTTTTTTTTTGAGGTATGGTCTCACTATGTAGCCCAGGCTGGCCTCAAATTCACAGGAACATTTAATGCATCTCGAGCACCATTTCATATCAAAGCATATGGATCAATGATGAAATTTTTTTGTTTGTGGTTCTAGGAATCGAACCCAGACCCTAACACTTGCTTGGTAAATGCTCTACCATTGAGCTACATCCCCAGCCCAAGGAAGATTTTTTTTTTTTTTTTAGTTTTTTTTGAGATAGAGTCTCATTGTGTAGTTCAGGCTGGTCTTGAACTCACTGTGTAGCCTAGGTTGGCCTTGAATTTGTGGTGATCCTCCTGCCTCAGCCTCCTAGGTGCAGGAATTACAGGTGTGTGCCACCACGCCTGGCCCAAGGAAGATATTTTTTAACTCTGAGGTATTTTTTTTTTTACCATTAGTGAATTGTTCTTCACTTTCCACTTCTCCTATTGTCTTTTCTTTCTTTCTTTTTTTATTTTTTGGTACTGGGGATCGAACTTGGGTCCTTGTATTTGCAGAGCAGGTACAGAACCACTGAGCTAAATCCCCAGCCCTCCTATTGTCTTTTCTTTTCTTCTTCTTTTTTTTTTTGGTACAAGGGATCGAACTCGGGTCCTTGCACTTGCACAGCAGGCAGCAAAACCACTGAGCTAAATCCCCGGCCCTCTATTGTCTTTTCTTGTTTGGTTTCCAGGGAGGGGTTTGAGTGTGGTGGGGTGCTAAGTCACCACACCAAGACGAAGATCCTCTCACACAATCTCACTGTGTGATATTCTGCCATGCAAACGCCGCTCCTGGTGTTAGTACTAAACTTTGGTTCTCTGTCCAGTTTCTCTTATCCTCCAAATTTCCCATGTATTAAGAGGATGGAACAATGCGATGTCTTTCTCAGGCTGATGGCAAGGTCTATGGTATTTCTTTTCCCTCCTGGTCTTTCTGCTTGTGTCTGACATCTTTTATTTCCATTCCAGGGGAAGCCATATGTCTTTGACCGTGTATTTCCCCCGAACACGACTCAGGAGCAAGTTTATCATGCATGTGCCATGCAGATTGTCAAAGGTAATGGATGTACTTTTAGAATAAATTTTCTCAAACTACCGACTCCCTATCTCACACACCTTCAACAGTATTCTTTTTCCACTCTTTCTTCCAGATGTTCTTGCTGGCTACAATGGCACCATTTTTGCTTATGGACAGACATCCTCAGGGAAAACACATACCATGGAGGTGAGGTTTCTAACTGTGGGGATGAGGAGCTAGAGTGCTAATGGAAGATCAAGAAATCTCAGTAGGGGAAGACCTAGGAATCAAGAGTTGCCTGATTCAAGGCAAATGGGTAGAGGGAATGAACTGAGGGGCAATGTTATAGGGGAAGTTTAATGGGATCCCTTCAATCTACTGTCATTTAATGTTTTCCGCTACTCTAATTGTCTTCTTTTGATCTGGAAAAGTAACAGCAAAGAAATCCCAAAGGACAGCTCAGTTATTTTCTTCCACTAAAAGCTAGACGTAATAGTGACCATGTCCTAATTTAGGATACTATTCCCTATCACTTAACTTTGTGTTCCCCTGCATACTTCTGAGTTGTCTCACTCTTCCCTCACTCCCCAGGGGAAGCTGCATGATCCCCAGCTGATGGGAATCATTCCTCGGATTGCCAGGGACATATTCAACCACATTTACTCCATGGATGAAAACCTTGAGTTCCACATCAAGGTGATCAAGACATGAAAACTGGGCATCCACAGATGGGGGCTGGGAGGAGCAGGTCTAGCATGAACCCCACTGAAGATCCTGGGCTCCCCACCTTAATCCTCCCCACCTGGTTACCTCAGTTCTTCTCCACCAAAATGTTCTCTTCTGTTCTTTCCTGACCACCTTCATCCTTTGAGGGATTAGTTTGCGATCCCTGTATTAGATTTAAGATAAGTTCTCTTCATTTCAGACTCCTTTCTTCCTAACCAGGTTTCTTATTTTGAGATTTACCTGGACAAAATTCGTGATCTTCTGGATGGTGAGTGTTTAGCCTCAGTGGGTTAGGGTGTGTTAGATGGCTTAGGTGATTGCTGTTTGGCCCACAGGATACACACTCTCACACCTGAGTCCTTTGGCTCCACTCCCCAAGAATTCCCGAGAATTGAGAGTCAGAAGATGAGCTTCAAGGGGCTGGGGATTTAGCTCCGTGGTTTTGCCACTTGCTGTGCAAGCGCAAGGACCCGAGTTCGATCCCCGGTACCAAAAAAAAAAAGAAGATGAGCTTCAAGTCCCAGGGCCACATATATGTAGCCTTATAGGAATAGAAGTTCTGGAACTGGAGCCCTGAAGAAGAGAGGGAGGGATGGGAGGTGCTGAGCCTTCAGCATGAACATGGAGTTCAGGCTTCACCAGGGAGTCTTCCTCCCCTTAGTACAAAGAAGAAACCACCATCTGAGTGGACCGCAGGGTGCAGGGGGCTGGGGTGGAAGCACTGGCCTTGCTCACTCTGCATTGTCTTGATTCAGTGACCAAGACAAACCTGTCTGTGCATGAGGACAAGAACCGGGTGCCATTCGTCAAGGTGAGAGTGGGGCAGGCACCAGGTAGGGCCAGTGCATTGAGAGCAGGGGTGAAGGAGGAGGAAGGGAGCATGACTTAGAGGTTAGGGAGGTGAGATATCCCAAGGGGCCAGGGAGAGCCTGGAGACTGGGAGACGATACTGTTAAGCTGGCAGTTTAACTTGCAGATCAGAGTCTATGGGTGACTGTCCATTTGCCCCATGCAGGGTTGTACTGAACGCTTTGTGTCCAGCCCAGAGGAGATACTCGATGTGATTGATGAGGGAAAATCAAATCGTCATGTGGCTGTCACCAGTGAGTGGGGATATAAGGGAGCCTTGAGTCTGAGGGTCCACCCCTCTTCTGTGCCCCTTGTGCACTAGTGAGCAAGGGAGGACTGTCATCCAGCGGAGGGCCCCCTGTCCATGCAGCCTGCTGCCTGGGAGATGAGGTGGCAGGCAGGCCCAGAGGCCCCTTTTCTCTTGGTTGGGAGTGGCAACTACTGGAAGCTGGGACTGAGGGCTGCAGTTCCACAAAGATTGATGCAGCTCCTGTTTCTTCCCTACTCCTGAAGACATGAATGAACATAGCTCTCGAAGCCACAGCATCTTCCTCATCAACATCAAGCAGGAGAATGTGGAGACAGAGCAGAAGCTCAGTGGGAAGCTGTATCTTGTGGACCTGGCAGGGAGCGAAAAGGTTGGGGTCCTGTGGGGCAGGGTGAGGTGGGTGGAGAAAGAAGCCTTTCTTGCAGTTAGAACACTTTTTTCTCTTTTGTTTTGTTTTGTTTTTTTGAGACAGGGGCTCTCTTTGAAGTCCAGGCTGGCCTTACACTCCCGGGGATCCTCCTTTCTCAGCCTCCCGAGTGCACCACCATGCCTAGCCTTAAAAAACTTTTTCAACTGAGATAGAATTCACATACCTGAAAGCTCACTATTTTAAATTGTATAGTTCAGTGGATTTAGTATGTTCAGAAGGTTGCACAACCATTACCACTATCTAATTCCAGAACATTGTCATCGCCCATTAACAGTCACTTCCCATTCTCCCCTCCACCCATCCCTTGGAAGCCACTAATCTCTGTCTAGATTTGCCTTCCCCAGATATTTCATGTAAACAGAATTACATAATATGGGCGGGGGTCTTTGGAGAGAGTTTAGGGGGATGAAAGGAGGGCCTTCCTTGGTCATGGCCAAGCATCTCTTACTTTGTCCTCTTTCTCATTCCCTCCCCTTTTCTTGGACTGGGCCCCCTAAGTTGGAAAGAGTTGGTGACAATCTTTATAGCTACTTGTGACACACTCATCCCTTAATGCTCTGGCAGGTCAGCAAAACTGGAGCCGAGGGAGCTGTGCTGGATGAAGCAAAGAATATCAACAAGTCGCTGTCTGCCCTGGGAAATGTGATCTCCGCACTGGCTGAGGGCACTGTAAGTGCTTCCTGGGTGCTCTTCACCCCTCCAACCCTACATTCTCCTTGTGCCTCCCTCCAGTCATACCCCAGCTTATGGGTTGCTCGATTCCCAGTCAGCACCACTATTCTTTTTTTTTTTTTTTGGTACTGGGGATTGAACTCTGGTCCTTGTGCTTGCACAGCAGGTGGCGAAATCACTGAGC